GTTAATGAGGGTGTTTTTAAATTTACAAACTGCAGAGCAAACCTGGACTAGTTGCCCTATCCTCAAAGTCTGAGCTAATACCAGTTACTATCTGCTTTTCTTTCCCTCTCCTTACTGTGTTCTATTCCAGTTTCTTACAATAAACAAATCTTTTTGTATGACTATTATTTGAACTAGGTTCCCCGTCTTTCACCCAAATTCTCTCCCCCCACCCAAAATTCCCCCAGGTCTGCCTACGAGAAGAACATCTGGTATTGCAGGTCCTGGCGAGGTGAACGAGTGTAACTCTCGAAGAAGTAGACACCAGCCACGGCAAAAAACATAGAAGAAGATGAGCAGCAACAGCCAGAGGAAGGTCATGCTCTAGAAGCCATGACCTCAAGTCAGAACTGAGCCAGACTAGGTTGATCTCTACCTATAGTCTAGTCAAGACCACCCTGTCAACCCCCCACACCAAACCAAGTCATGTCCAGTACTGATCCCAGTCATCTCTAGGCCACAGCAGCTTGCCCACACCCCTTTCTCATCAAATATATTTCACAGGATCTTTCATTGCCTTCCTTGACTCACCCAGACTTGCTTCATATTAAGCCCCATGTTTATCTACCTTGCCCACCTGGTTTAGCTGCAACAGTCAAATCACCTTGAGGGCCCTGACCAGGGCCAAAATAATGACTCGAATTTGACGGAACCGTGCAAAGAGTTTGAGAGACCTTAGCACCCGGCAGATCCTCAGCAACTTGAGCCATACAGACTGACCTTCTACCCCTCCCAGCACCACAACTTCTGGAATCAGGGACTGTGGGAAACACAAATTGTAAGTAAAATATACCCCAAAGCATCCCCACATGGCTGTCCTTTCTTTATCTCATTATCTCCATAGTTCCTTGGGCTTATCTTGAATGACATTCTTTAGGGGTTGTTTCCTATTCAGCCTTTCTATATAAAATTACTTAAAACCTGTATTTCATCTCATTCAGACATAAAGGGGATAAGTGTTTATCTTGCTGGGTTTTTATGGAGCTCAGATAAGAAAATACATGTAAAACACTTAGAACAGTGGTTGGCAATCAGTAACTGCTAAGTAAATGGTAGCTGTTATCACTGGGATTAACAGTGCTGTTAGATGCTACCTTGCTCCTAATACCTGCAATGACTGACTTTTAATTTAGAAAAAAATCAAAATAGAGAAGTTAGGTACATTTCTATTTCTTTCATCCTCTGATCTAATTATCTTTACTTGTCATTTTGATTCACCCAGGCACATTCCTCAGCCACTAAACTAATTCACAGGAAATCTATCCTTACCAATATGGTGATAACAAAGTCAAAGAGATTCCAGGCATTCTTCCAGAAGTGGAAAAAGTTGGAGAGCCACATAAGAAGGATCTCCAAGATGAAAATAAGCAAGATGAACCAAGCTGCCAACTCCAGAGTCAGCTTCAGTGGCCACAGATTAGTATTTGAGGATTCGAGCAATTCTATGAGTAGAGCAAAGAATGAATAAAGGTTAAGGAAGTGGGAAGCTGAAACTTCTATAAATTACAGCTGTACCCACTGTTATTCCATTTTTGAGTTTCTCTTCTTAACACTATTGTTGCTTCAACCTGTGAAATACAGAAAAGGACAGAATTGAACATGAAAAAAAGCTATGACTCAGCTTCTTCCAATATCAGTATATCTACAGCTGCAGCCCCTGTCTTCCTACTCTGGGGTCACACGGCAATCAAGGGATTGCTCTCCAAAAACCCTGCCAACTGTATTGTTATCGCAGTCCCAAACTTCACGAGAAAGCAATGGGGTATTGAGAACAGAATGAAAATACAAGACCATGATGTGGAAAGGGCTTTATAAGGAATGTAGGAACAAGAAGCCAGCTTCATGGGGCATATTGAGTTATAATAAGAAATTATTTGGTTCTTCTTTATTGATAACTTTTAAAATTTTCCCCTTTCTTTTCTGCCTAAAATTGATTTGTTCTACAAGGCAAATTAAATCTATAATTTCTCTCTAGAATCCTATTATTTGCAAATTGCTATTGCTTAACTCATTACCTTTATAATCCTCATCATTTTTACACATTTTTTATACATTTAATATACACCACGATGTAGAATAAAACATTAAGATCAAAATAGGCTTAACAACAAAAAAAAAAAACCACACACCAAAAAAAAAAAAAAAAAAAAAAAACAACCAAAAATAACAAAATAGGGTTAAAGCAGAACTGAGGCAACCAGAAAGGGAAGACGGGGTGGGCACAAAAGGATTAAGTAACCAATGGACTATGGTGGAGGATTCTTGGGACTCTAGTGGTGGACATGGTATGATGACATTTGTAGATATTAACCTATATCCCAGAGACATATAGAGTGTTGTTAATAACTATTACCTTGGGGCCTCCCTGCTGGCACAAGCGGTTAAGACACAATCTATGAAGCTATCTGCAGCCACTGCAGCACAAGTTCAATCCCTGACCAGGGAGATACCCCCACGGTGCAGCAGACCTCTCCTGACTCACTCGCTGCTCCCTCAACAGTGGATTTCAGTCAATCTGCCTGTTCCATTCCCTACTCTGTCCCTGGTGAATCCTCTCACCCCCTATACCTCTGGCCTGTACCCCAGCTCTTATATGCATAAATAAATAACTCTTTTAAAAAATAACTGTAACCTATGGGCCTCCCCGGTGGCGCAGCGGTTGAGCGCTGGGTTGCGAAGCTGCCCGCGGCCTCTGCGGCGCCGGTTCGATCCCCGGCTGCTTCCCGGCCACCGGAGGAGGGTCCCACATGGCGCGCAGACCTCTCCTGCCGCCCACTGCTCCCCTCAGCAGTGTACTTCGGTCCTTCTGCCTGCTCTGCTCCCCGCTCTGGCTCTGGTGAATTCTCTCACCCTCCCGCGCTTCTGACTGTACCCAGTGCATGTATAAACAAAACAAACAAAATAAATAAAAAAAAAAAAAAAAAAAAAAAAAAAAAAAAAAACATGCCTCTATTAAAAAAAAAAAAATGTTTAAAAAAAAAAAAAAAAAAAAAAAGAAAAAATAACTGTAACCTAAATAAACATAATTAAATAAAAACAAAACAAACTAGCCTTAAAAGTTAAATAAGAGTCAGTGTTATGATGCTATGGATTTATTGTCATCCTAATCCTGGAATGGATCAAGACAAAAAGAACAGAATCATACTTCAACCCTCTCAAAATGGTTTGGCCCTTCCTGAAAAGCAGTGAAGTCACACTATAGTTATTCCTATGCTTCTTCAGGCTATATTCTTCTTTTTTTTTTTTTTTATATTTTTTTTTTTTTTTAAGATTTTATTTATTTATTTATTTATACAAGCACTGGGTACAGTGAGAAGCGCAGGAGGGTGAGAGAATTCACCAGAGCCAGAGCCGGGGGCAGAGCAGGCAGAAGGACCGAAGTACACTGCTGAGGGGAGCAGCGGGCGGCAGGAGAGGTCCGCGCACCATGTGGGACCCTCCTCCAGTGGCCGGGGAGCAGCCGGGGAATTGAACCGGCGCCACAGAGGCCGCGGGCAGCCCCGCAACCCAGCGCTCAACCGCTGCGCCACCGGGGAGGCCCCAAGGCTATATTCTTCTTAAGTAAATTTTTCTTTTTCATGTAATACTTCTCTAACTCTAAGATAAACAGCTTTTCATATTTTAACTTTTCTGAAATTAGGCTGCACTATAATTAAAATCAATGGTATTTACCAGTTTAATTGAAGATACTTTTTATTTCCTAGTGATAGACAGATTACATTTTACCATTGATAACAGCTTAGATTCAATAAAATACAATGTTTTCTCAATAGGAAAGAAATGTGGGATTATTAAAAGGAGCTGAGTACTACTACATTAAAGGCTTGAAAATGTAATGTTACAATTTGTATTGTTTTGGCCTTCATAAAACAGGAGCCCAAAAAGTATGTGAAAGTAGTTTAAGGTAAGGGTCTTAGAGAGAAGAGTCTGATAGTTTGGAAAAAAAAAAAAAGAGAGAGAGTCTGATAGTTTGAGTAGGAGGTCCAAATTTCAGAAGAAAAAGTACTTTTACTTTTTGGGGAGAAAGGGATAATTTTATAGTAACAAAATGAACCCAGGTAAAAGAAGCAAAACAGAAATTGCCTTAGCAAAAATGGAAGTGATTGCCTACAACTCTACATCAACTAACAAAAATGTATACTATCTGGAGATGAAAACATGACTTAAAAATTCTTGGAATTCTTTGGCCTACAATAGTAAGGCAAAGGGTTCTTAGTGGAAATAGAGCTAAGGATCCCAATGAAGTCTACCCAGGAATCTTGGCCAGTGTTGTGAGTTCATAGTGAAATCTGCGCTTGAACACACTTCTCTCAGTGTGAGAAAAGGCTGCAGTTTGATGAAACAAGTCAGGAAAATGTGTATGATTAGGCAGTCATTTATCATCACTTCCTATTCTAGAAAAACAGCAGATAACTTCATAGAATATCAGGTAAATTCCCATTGGTTTCAAGAAAAGTTAATCTTTAGTGAGGACAGCAGTACACTGAAATTTGCATGAGTGTTCAGCTAAAGACAACAGCTAATGTTGAAAAATTATATCTTGCACTCATGAGTTCAAATGGAGCTTACAATTCCTTTGTGAGATATAAGCAGGCACTTTCACAAGTAAGACTAAATATTGATTTGGCCAAGTTACCAAGAAAGTAAGACTGGTAAAATCCCAAGAACATAAGAAACATATCGAGTCTGTATCAGCAGCCCCTAAGGGCATTTGTGAAACTGCATAATTACCTTCTATAATGGCATTTAAGCCTGTTAGAAATAGAACCTTAACAACCTTAAGTTCCTTAATGCCTTAATTATTTATCTAGTTTCCATTCCTTTTTCTAGATTTACTGTTACCTAGTTAGGTTTTTCAACTATAACAATAGTACTTGTCCTCTAACATATAAGATTATCTCTCATTATTTTATAGATGCTAAGACTCATCTTTTCACTCTACGCTGTCATATACTTTTTAAAGTATACCTTAACAGAAAGCACATCCATTTTTGTAATTTGTCAGCTTTCCTTTTCTAGTTCAGTTATGGGCTAAGGGGGAATGTGACCTAACAACCAATATTTAGATTTCTAGGGAGTAAAACATAGTAATAAGGGCAAAATTCTAGGGTCAGACAATCAGGGCTTGAAACTAGGCTTTTCCAATTTTCAAGTGTATTACCTCAAGGAAGTTACTTAACCTGTCTCATGTTTCTCAACTATAAAGTGAGGAAAATAGTGTTTACCTCAGAAAATGGGGAATAAATATTGGTAAGTATATAAAACATACAATAACTATATTCATTATTATTATCAGCATTGCTAGTACATATTTCTAGGTGTGGATAACCAATGGCTTTATAGTAAGGGTAATGACTTCTGTTTAATTTCCAATTTTCTTTTCTCTTTATCACTTTTTGTTCATCCATTGTATTAGGCCACATAACTGTATTTACTAATTAGCATGTACTTTTTAAAAAAGATTATTTATGCATATAAGAACTGGGGTACAGGCCAGAGATGGGGGGAGGGGAGAGAGGATTCACCAGAGACAGAGTGGGAAACAGAACAGGCAGACTGACTGAAATACACTGCTGAGGGCCTCCCCAGTGGTGCAGCGGTTGAGCGCTGGGTTGCGAAGCTGCCCGCGGCTTCTGCGGCGCCTGTTCGATCCCCGGCTGCTCCCCGGCTGCTCCCCAGCTGCTCCCCGGCCACCGGAGGAGGGTCCCACATGCCGCGCAGACCTCTCCTGCCGCCCGCTGCTCCCCTCAGCAGTGTACTTCGGTCCTTCTGCCTGCTCTGCTCCCTGCTCTGGCTCTGGTGAATTCTCTCACCCTCCCGTGCTTCTGACTGTACCCAGTGCATGTATAAACAAAACAAACAAACAAACAAACAAATAAATAAAACATGCCTCTATTAAAAAAAAAAATACACTGCTGAGGGAAAACAACGGGCGAGACCGAGACAGGAGAGATCTGCTGCGCCATGTGGGTAGCTCCCTGGCCTGGAATTGAACTCTTGCTTCAGTGGCTGCGGACAGCTTCATAGGTTGTGTTAACCCCTTGCGCCACCAGGGAGGCCTTGCCATGTTCATTTTTGAGAAGTCTCAAAGTGCCATTAACCTTTTCAGCAAAGACTGATAGTAGGCCTATTCTGAGATACTTGGTCCTGAGAATTGATACTGTATTTGCTATTTAGTCCCTAGAATTGCTCTCAATCTATTAGTTTCTGGTTGTATTCAGCTTTGCCTGAGTTATGGCTGTGAGCTTGCTGAGACACATTCTCATCTTCCTCACTTTTCCTTAAAATAAACCTCCATTGAATGTTTTTTTTAAATGCATTTATTTATTTATTTTTAATAGAGGCATTTTATTTGTTTGTTTGTTTGTTTTGTTTACACATGCACTGGGTATAGTCAGAAGCGCGGGGAGGGGGGGGAAGGGGTGTGTGTGTGAGAGAATTCACCAGAGCCAGAGCGGGGAGCAGAGCAGGCAGAAGGACCGAAGTACACTGCTGAGGGGAGCAGCGGGCGGCAGGAGAGGTCTGTGCGCCATGTGGGACCCTCGCTGGTGGCGGGGGATTGAACCGGTGCTGCAGAGGCTGCGGGCAGCCTCGCAGCCAGCGCTCAACCGATACACCACCTGGGAGGCCCTGAATGTTTTTTTTGAAATAGAAAGATCTATAAACCCACATAACATCATAGGACATTATCACAATTTATTACTTGGTATTTCACTATTTTAAGAGCTTACTAAATGAGGTAATTTCACTATGCGACATCTTTTTTTTGATTATTTATAAATAAATGAATAACCTGGTATTGATACAGGCATTTACTTTTTTTTTCCCCCCAACTAAAAGCATTTTCCAACAAGTCTGAAATCCCCTGGGGATCCTCTAAGGTGTTCCATAAGTTTGTGATTTTAAAGGCTTAATGTGGTCTATTTTAATTTCCATTTTTATGAGTAAGTAATTTAGTATTTTCCCCTTTAAAATAGAACAATTTGAGAGCCTCAAATGTACTATGACTGACTTCCTGGCAGTTAATGGAGCTCAGAAGTGCCTATTCAATCACCCTAAACATCACAAACTGCTGAGTAGTTTTGGACGCTTTACACGTTTTTAAATTGCTATTGCTTTTAGTATTGGATTTTGACTAGTTACATCCCACAATAAAATACAGAATATGATGTTAAAATACATCTTCACGAAGATGTAAGATTAATCCTAGAAGTTTATCTGAAGATAATCTTCATCAGATTCTGTAAACTTTATCCATCTGATCAAAAATTTCATATGGTATAAGCAGCTCTCATGCCTGCCTGTGACTACGCAGGTGTCTTTCTTTTTCTCCTTTTCCTAATAAACCTATCCCTTTTTGAAATGTAAAAAAAAAAAATTATAGCACATCATTCTATTTCTAATATCTCAAAAACTGATATATAAAAGCAGATTATATTGATGTTATTCTTAGCTTTTTGTTTAAAATCAAGACTATTGACATTTGCAAAGTTATTTTCAGAGAGACTTGAAATGAGCTAAATCTTTGTTTTCTTTCTCTAATCATTTACAAACAAGATATAAAAATTAAAGATAAATCAGTTGATATTTAAAGAGCAGAGCAGGGCCTCCCTGGTGATGCAGGGGTAAAGACAAAGAGCTACCAAGCTATCCACAGCCACTGCAGCACGAGTTCAAGTTTGATCCCTGTCCAGGGAGGTGACCCATATGGCGCAGCAGGCCTCTACTGTCTCAGCCGCTGGTACCCTTAGCTGTGTATTTCAGTCAAGCTCCCTGTTCGGTTCCCTACTCTGTCTCTGGTGAATCCTCTCACCCCCAACCTCTGGCCTATTCCCCAGTTCTTGTATGCATAAATAAATCTTTAAAAAATTTTTTTTTAAAAAAGAGCAAAGTAGGGCCTCCCCTGGTGGCGCAGCGGTTGAGTGCTGGACTGTGAAGCTGCCCGCAGCCTCTGCAGCACCGGTTCGATGCCCGGCCGCCAGAGAGGATCCCACACGGCGCCACAGACCTCTCCTGCCACCCGCTGCTCCCCTCAGCAGTGTATTTCCGTCAGTCTGCCTGTTCTGTTCCCTGCTCTGGCTCTGGTGAATTCTCTCACCCTCCTGCGCTTCTGACTGCACCCAGTGCTTGTATAAATAAATAAATAAAATCTTTAAAAAAAAAAAAAGAGCAAAGTAGAATAGCCAAATGTAAAAGTTTTTTTTTTCCTATTTGTTATGCCCTAATGCATAATTAAATTTCAATCTACACTTGAACATATAATATATAATATGTATTGAACATACAATACACAAACATAATTGATGCCTAAACCAAACTTAATGTTATGTAAAAATTCATTTGTAGATAAATCATGTATTTTTTTTTTACAAACAACATGAATCATTTGTAATATGGCAAAAAATATTACTTACATGAGTGCTGAAATTATATAACATAAAAATATATTTAATAATGTTATTTTAAAATATTTTTACTTCAACTTGCTTTTTTATATTACATAAAAATAGTGAAACCATCAAGCAAGTTTTTGAGATTAGATATATATAGTCCTGGGAAACAAAATCACAAGACAAAAATTGTTGGGGAGTTTTGATCTAGAGAATTTGTTGTTAATTACTATTTTCCCCTAACTATAACAAGATTTTTTGTGACCTGAAAAATTTTTTAAAGCTTAAATAAATCAAGTTCTAATGTTTATCAGATAAATTAGTCTTTTCAAAGAAGTCTGTTAGTCACAAATTATTTCCCTTTGCAAAGTCTCTCCTGTCTTTCTACCATGAGAATGTGTTTAGTAAGATACAATTTTCATGAGCTTGCAAGGTAATTCCTACCAGGCCAATCCACCTATCCTCTGGCACAGAGATCATGTTTCCTATTTAGCTGTTTTACCAAATAGAAAGGTTACTGCTATTCTATTTTATTTTGCCCATTAGATGCAGGAACTTCTGTGTATTTACTACTATTTGCTTTATTGCAATGCTTAAGACGATCTTCCTAAACCCACAAGGCAAATACTTTTCAGTTATCATACAACAAACAGGAAATGTGAATGACTTAGTACAAAATCCTCACCCATACAAGGAGGAAATAAAATACTTCAAAGTATATAGACTAGTGTTGTGGGTCAGTGACATAAGCTATTGTAGATATTTAAATATTTTGCATTAAGACTATTTTAAGTAGGAAATCAACCCCCTCCCAATACAGTGAAGATGAAACAACAAAGTTATTATTTCTACTGTCCTTTCATAATTTCTCAGCAGTTTGTTGGACATAATTGATTCTCCAACATCTCTTTGTTCTTAACACATTTCACATAATTTGGTTTTAGAGTCATTTTGTCTTTAAGTCATTTTTCCAGCTCACCTAATAACTTAGTTGTGCCTAACTTTACATATTTGTTCATAGTTAAATATTCTTTCTAAACATACTTATAAAAATGCAAATGTTGAATCATTCACTGATATATCTAACAGTAAATGTTAATTTAACTAGTTTTAATGACTAACAAAAGAAATATAACTGTTCTTTACATTTACAGTTCCTTGTGAATCTATTACACCTGCCTCTGAGAGTCTAGACTACTTACTACACTCTCAAGAGCCCTCCAATAGTTTCTAGGTCTTAAAAGTTGCAAACTTCCTACTCTAGGAGACTTAATTGTCCCTATTAAATTCAGATGACATTCAAAACATAAAATGATCAATTTAAAGGAAAATAACTCCCACCTACTTCCTTTTTCATTCAATGTCACTTCTCACCTATTTCAACCATCAGTACGACTGTATTCAAAAAGATGAGGAAGATGATGAAGTTTGTGAAGATAGAACCTGTTTTCTCTTAAGGAAACAAACAGTAGAGTTCTTTCTGATTTATGCAATTGAAATAAGGGCACAAACCAGTGAGAATGTGAAGAAAATGGAATCTGAAAGGGAAAAAATAAATTAGCAGTCTAATGATGAAGCAATAAAATTGTTACATAAAATGAATGGTGGGGGCCTCCCTGGTGGCACAAAGGGGTAAGCACAGCACTATGAAGCTATCCATGGCCTCTGTAGCATGAGTTCAATCCCCAGCTGGCCAGGGAGCTACCCCCATGGCGCAGCAGACCTCTCCTGTGTCGCCCGCTGTTTCCCTCAGCAGTGTTTTCAGTCAATTTGTCTGTTCTGCTCCCTACTCTGTCTCTCGTGAATCCTCTCATCCTCCTGCACCTCTGGCCTGTACCCCAGTTCTTGTACGTATAAATAAATAAATGTTTTAAAAAAATGAATGATGGGCATCCCTGGTGGCACAGGTGTTGGAGTCTCAATGCTATCAAGCTATCATCATCCACTGAGGCCTGAGTTCTATCCAGGCCAGGGAGCTAACCAATGTGGCCCAGCAGACCTCTCCTGCATCGCCTGCTGTTCCCCTCAGCAGTGTTTTCAGTCACTTTGCCTGTTCTGCCCCCCACTCTGTCTCTGGTGAATCCTCTCACCCTCCCACACCTCTGGCCTGGACCCCATTTCTTGTAGGTATAAATAAATACAATAAATCTTTGAAAAAATGAATGTCAAAAAGGAGTAAAGGTTCTGCAGTAACTTTATGGTGATTGTGCAAATTTTTCATGAGAGGATTAATAAAAGATTTTCTGTGTATGTTTGTTTGCATGGGGTTGGGGGAGGGTAGAAGAGAATGGCATGAAAGGATACTCTCAAGGACCCATCCAGCCCACAAGCAAAGAGGTGGCCTCTCATTGCAGCGCACTTGGAGTCTGCTCAGCAATCTCTTACTGTGTGTAATCCGTTCTACATGACGGGGCTTTATGGAGAAGCGCACAAGTTGATGTTGATCTCTCATCATAACTTTCTTCTGACGGGCAGGATCTATAAGAAAAATTTAAAAGGGTCCATAGTAGCATATGAAGAGAAGTCTTTGGGGGATGTTAAGAAAAGGTAGGACTGAGTGCAGAAATACTGATTACTTAATGAATGCCCTAGCGCAGAAGCATGCCTTGCAGCTCCTTTCACGGGACCTAATATTAGTTTGGATTCATAGCTAATGTATTGCTTATGACCAGCACTGTTCATGTCCAGGAATAAAGGTGGAAGATTCAACCCTCAAAGTTTCAATTGTCTTTGGTGAAACTTTTAAGTCAACAAGGGTTAGTAGTTATCCTAAGCCTAAAAACGAGTGACACGGATTCTATCTCCTGAATTCAGAGCTTTACTTACAAAACAGTCCATTTATCAAATTTGGTGTGACTTCCAAACTAGCACCCAATCCAACTGCCCCTGAATTTTCCACCTTTATAATTTTCCCTCTACTGCCTGCACTTTGGAGGGTGTGAATGGGAATCCTGCATTTATACTAGTTCAGAAACAAGCTACTGACCAACTAACTCTTTGATAGTGTGCCGTGGCACAGCTTGGCTTATCCCTTGCAGATGCTCAATGAGAGAGAAAGTATCAATAAGGCGCGAACGAATGGCATCAGCTCTGGGCAGTGGCATGTGTCCTGGTCGCTGATAAGGGTGATAAGTGGCCATGTCCTTTAAAATAAAATAGAAGAATCAAGTGTCATTTCATTCTTGGAGTTACACTAAGAATTAGAGTTTTTCTTCCTCCCTACCCTGTTAGCCCTGATGACAAACAAAAACATTGTAGCAAGATTCAAGATTTTTTTTTTGAAACAAAAGAAAGTATGAATTGTAATTGAGACTGCACAACTAAGTGGCTGGTTCCTTTCACTTGCTTGGCAATATTTCTAATTTATGGATCTCTCTGCTGGCGCAAGGGGTTGAGACTGCAGCCACTGCAACACAAGTTCGATCCCTGGCCGGCCATGAAGCAACCTACATGGCACAGCAGACCTCTCCTGGCTCGCCTGCTGCTCTTCTCAGCAGTGTATTTCAGTCAGTCTGCCTGTTTTGCTTCTCACTCTGTCTCTGGTGAATCCTCTCTCACACCCCCCCCCCCCCGCAAGCGCCTCCGGTCTGTACCCCAGTTCTTGTATGCATAAATAAATCTTAAAAAATATATATATATATTTCTAGGGCCTCCCTGGTGGCGCAAGGGGTTAAGCACCACACTATGAAGCAATCCGCAGCCTCTGCAGCACGAGTTCAATCCCCAGCTAGCCAGGGAGCAACCCACATGGCAAGGCAGACCTCTCCTATCTCGCCAGCTGCTCCCCTCAGCAGTGTATTTCAGTCAGTCTGCCTGTTCTGTTCCCCACTCTGTCTCTGGGGAATCCTCTCAGCCTCCCGCATCTCTGGCCTGTACCCCAGCTCTCGTATGCATAAGTAAATAAGTCTTAAAAGAAAAAAAAAGAAATTCTGATATGTTTAAAAAAAAAACGACAACAAAACAAAACAAAAAAATTCTAATTTAAAACGACAACTACAAGGGCAAGCGTCCTGGGGCTGGGCAAAAGGAAAACGGGCATCACCTGCACCTGAGGGAGTCGGCCGGCCGAAGCAGTGAGCTGAGGCGGTGGGAGACCTACAGTTGCCTTCGAAAGAAAAACCAAGTTAAGAGAAACTGAAGACAACACAACAGCCTGACATTCTGAAAACGTGCCTGGTCCCAAGCGTGTCCACCCCATCGCTCCCTCCTCTCAATCCCAGCTCTGGGCCTCACCTCAGCCCAGGCTCTTCCCGCCCACTCAGCCCTGACTTGAGTCAGCGCCTCCTGCTCTGGCGCCCCCTGAGCTCGACTCGACCCACGCAGCGCCAGCTTAGGGTCGGTTTCCAGCCTCGCTGCGCCCCACTTCAGCTCCGCCCCGCCCCGCCCGCCAGCTCACCGAGTTCCGGCTCGCAGCGTCGACCCCGCCCAGCGTCGCGGCCACTCGGCGGTTACCAGCCGGCCCCGCCCCCTGACGTCAGAGGCGCGCCGCCAATCGGCGGCTGCCACACTGCGGCCCGAGCCGGGCGAGGGGGTTGGGGCCTCCGGCTGCAGGTCCGCCCGGGCCAGACGCACGAGCGCAGGCTGTGGGTGCGTGGTCGCCGGCCCGGCCTTCGCAGACCCCGCCGAGCCCAACCCTCCCGGCTGCCTCCTCGCACCTCGCCGCCATGCGCCTCCGCCGCTTAGCGCTGTGCCCCGCCGTGGCGCTGCTTCTGGCCGCGGCCCGCCTCGCCGCTGCCTCCGACGTGCTGGAACTCACGGACGACAACTTCGAGAGCCGCGTCTCCGACACGGGCTCCGCGGGGCTGATGCTGGTTGAGTTCTTCGCCCCCTGGTGAGGCCGCTGGGCTGGGGCCGGCGAGGGAGGGCTGAGTTGGGCCGGGGGCGAAGGCGCGGGAAGAGTTGGGCCTACGCAGTGTCTGCTCCCTGCACCATCCCGCCGGCCGGAAGGAGGCTGGCGGGTTGCTCACCCCACTGGGAGCTGGTCTGCCGCGCAGGTAGCAGAGAAGTAGGTGCTGATCGCCCAGGAGCGAGACCCGAGAAAGGAAAAATGCCCAGGCCCCTTGCATACAGGGCCACATCCTTGCCTCGATGCTCTTGCGGCACTTCCTATTTGCAGAGGGTTTAACCACCCCCCGCCTGCCTTCGGTGTGTTCACAGTTTCTGGGTGAGTCAGTGTTAATGCTCTGTGTTCTGCAGAAGGGGCATCTCAAGGCCTTGCAGTGCAAGCGAACGTTTCACCAAGTGCAAGGACTCTGGGCCACCAGCTCTGCTTTTCTTCTTGCCCTATGCCCGCAAGCATTGGTTTCTAGCCAAGGTCACTGTGGCTGAAGAGTGGTCATAAATGCAATATGTAGATAAGTTTTTTTTTTTTATCCAACTCATGGTTCACACTTTCTCCATTAAGCATTTCTCAGCACCTGCGGAATCTTGTCAGAAAGGATAGGAACAATAAGGTCAGAATCTACATTGTCGTTTTAATTAGGGTTTCTGAAAGATGCCAAAAAAGAGAGAGTAACCAGTATTGGAGAAAGTAATCAGTGTTGGAGGAATACTCTGGGCTAATTTGACCGAACAAGGCGGAAATGCCTTAGGCGAGAAATAAGTTTAAATAAAAGTGGCAGATGGCACAGGGCAGATAGGATTTCTTGCCCAATAAACCTTGCAGGGAAAAAAGAGTGGACAATGCTTGGCATAGTTCAGCATAACCATGCTAATTGTTGTACTTAATTTTATCCTGCTGCAGTGATTTTTTTTTTTTTTTTTTTTGGCAGTGATTCTTAATTAACAACTGTTTGTGTTCAAAAGTATCGGCAAAGCAAAGTATTTAACTTTCACTTGCTTCTAACTCTGGTCTTCGTTCTGCAGGGGCTACGCTGACTTGTTGAGGGTTACACTAGAAATCCTATAGTGAAGACTACCTGAACCAGAAGAAAGGCAGCACATTTTTTCAGCTTGTGGTAGATTTTGTGGCTGGGTCATTCTTGGCAGTGCTGATTACACATTATAGGTGGTCCTTATTCACCTTTAGAACTCATCAATTCTTACCCAGCATGTAACCATGCTGTTAACTTTGAGAAGGTATCACTGTAATTAGAATGGGTGTATAGAGTTGTTGTAAAAACTGGGTAAAGTTTCTGTGACTACACGATTTAACATGGAAGTGAATTGCTGAAGAATTGTTGGCTATCAGACTGTTTATGAGCGGTTTTTTATCCTATTGAAGATACTTTAAATTGTTGCTTTAAATCCTGCTTTAAATTGTTGCCTGTACTTACTTTAAAACTACATATCTCGTCTCTCACTAAACTATCCCCAAACTGGGTGGATCGCTGCTGTGGTGTCTGCTTTTAATTGGTCTAGGAGGTAAGATCCTCCTCCCCAGTGCCAGCAGGAGTATCAGTTTTACAAACGAATCATTTGGAGTCTAGGAAAACTTGTATCCCGGTGAAAATGTCCTTAGTTCTTCAACTATTTTTATTTATTAATACTTCAACTAGAAATGTTTTCTGACTGCTATATTCCTTTGTACAGAATAGTTATATAAATGCCTGTATTCAAGAGTAGTAGCTCACAGGTTAGATGGGCATAGTTTTTAAGCGTAAAAAGGGCCTGTTTTGGTGCTTTGCTTCTGTTGTAGGATTTTTTTTCCATTTCATCTTACAAGTGAATGTGAAAGGTTTTTTGGGGTCTTTTGGCAGTTGACTTAGTAGACTATTTCCATTAAAGGAGTTTAATCATCTCATTTGTAATAATGAGAGTGCCTGAATTTCTCTGGGAAAAGAAATAACACTGTTTTGATGCTTTAAGCCCTCAACATCTACTTATGTTATAGATTTTTACCCTACCTCCCAGAACAGTAGTATTAACTAATATTTGATAAATAATTCTAGGATATAGAAAAAGACTATGTGGGTAGTATAAAATGAAATATTTCTTTTACTTGGCTTCTCTCACACACACACCCTCCCTCAATCGATCTTTTCAACAGAGTTTAGCTCAAAAGTTACTTCTTCCTTCCTGAACAAGCAATTGGTTCCTTCCCCCTCTATTGGGACCTAATGATACCATCTCTCAGACATGTTTTTATGGGGAAAGGACTGTATCACCTTTTCTGTCAAAGCAAAAAATAGTATTTGGCACTGAGAGGGAAGAAGTAATGATTGTTGGGTGAATATAAGATTCATTATTAACTACTAGGTGCTAACACTGAAGGTGGATGAGATTATTTGTGTTTTGATATTACCTAGGAGTAGATGAAGGAAGTTGTGATTAATCTTGATGATCACCTTCAAACTTCACCTGAGTTTCATCATTGGTGAATTTGAAGAGAGCGGTTTCCTTCAGACTTTTTGGAACTTGTTTAACAAGTCTTCCCACTGGACATTTGATGACCTTATAGATTTTACCTATGCTTAGGGCAGTTTTCAGTTCCAGCCTTGCCTCTTACATACACAAACCCCTATACTTGTTCCCTCCCAGATTTGTAGTGATTCTTATTCAGTAAATGCCAGGGTGGGGCACGGACATGCAGGTTTTTTTAAAATTGCTTCATGGATATTTTTTATATGCATCTGGATTGAGAGCCACAGGTCTGTGTAATAATTTTATACTTTTTTTCTCTTAACATGTTTTAAGATCATTGGGGTAAAACTATTCTTAAATCTGTGCCTTAGCCTTTTTGACATATTCAACAGAAATCTCTTTCTCTTTTGTTTTCCTCACTTCCACTCTGACCCCGGCTTTCATTATCTGCCATGTGAAATATATTATGTCTAAGTGGCTCTGTACTTATCTCTGCTTTCCCCCTTCCTGTCAGTCCTATTATTGCTGATGTAGTCTTAAATCACATGGAAGACATTTAATGTCTCTTAACAAAACAGAAAGACTTCATAGATCTCTATTCCTAGTAATTTAACCTTTGCTCCTATTCCCCTTATCTAAAATATTCTGTCTGAAGCCTTACATCCTTAAAGGCCAGACCCAGCTCACTCTCTTTAATAGGTATTCTGTTTTAGCCTTAACCCTTTTTCTTGGATAAGTCGGTTATTAAGTCAATTGTATTTTTTTTTTGTTACAACTACATGCAAAAAATTTTAAATTTATTATGCAATATTAAAAGAATACAGAGGACATACTATCGTGTTTTATACATATCTAAGATACTGCTGATTGTGCAGGAAACTATTGTCTCACAAAGAAATGCTGCCATCGGAACTATGACACAATTGCAAGATACATCCCAATTTCAGATATGGTAAATGTGCTTTTGTGAAATACAGCATAAGGAATACCATTTATTTATGACACAGCTGAAAAAATTAAGCCAGTGGAGTTAAATCCCCTGTGTACCTCTTTCCCACCTATGTACTCCCATCCTGAATTTGGTGTAATGTCACTTGGTCCTTTTATACTTTTAGAAAATATGTAATCCTGAGCAACATCTAATAATATGGGCTTTTTGATATCGCTATTCCTTCATTTAAATTTTCTAATAATTATGTTTGAGTAGGACTCCTAAGAGCTTGAAGAATATAAACTCTTGTAGTCCTTTGTTTTAAGCAAGTTTTAGAGGCAGAATGTTTCTAAATTACTTATCCATCACTCAGAATAAAATTTGATAGCCAGCTCAAGTTCCTCTTGTGTTTTCTTCTTTTTTCAAATTCTATTTTTTGCTGTCTATGGGGAGGTTGCAGAACTACTCACCTTCTCAAAGTGATCCCTCTGAAACCCATTGGGTTTTGAATAGATGATGTACAGCTGGTGCTGACTTTATACTGATAAGAAGGAATATCTTCCCCTTCCCCCCAATTGCATGTACAGTGTACCTACGGGAATGATAAAATTTTCTGAGCAGAGGAACAGGTGTTTCTGATGGCCCTCTGGGAACATACTCCAGTTGACATAATGGTTTATCCTCTTTAGTTCTTATAACCAGGTGAACCCCATGTAGCTGTAAAAGTCAGATTTACCATTATAAATGTCATTCTAATACTTTGTTGAAACTCAGTTGAGAAGAAAAACTGCAGTGTCTTCTGGACCTCATTCCTTTAGCCCCTCAAAGTAGGTTTCTGGTAAGAGAATCATTGAAGGAAGGAAGGGAGATAGTTAATATTAACTTAGGTCCTTACAAGGTTTCAATTATATATCTTTAAGAATTACAATATTGGTTACCTAAGGGGGGAAAATGTGCCTTCCTTTGGGAAATGCTGCCAGGAAAGGGATTATTGCTGTCTTGTCCTTCATTTTATCCTCATTAATTGTTCAAAAAGGCTTGAGCTCTTTCCCCTTTCATTGTTTCATTTTTTTTAAAGATTTATTTATTTATGCATATAAGAATGGGGGTACAGGCCAGAGGTGTGGGGGTGAGAGGATTCACCAGAGACAGAGGGGAGCAGCGGGTGAGTCAGGAGAGGTCTGCTGTGCCTTGTGGGTAGCTCCCTGGCCGGGGAGCGAACTCATGGTGCAGTAGCTGTGATTAGCTTCATGGGTGTGTATTAACCCCTTGCGCTAACAGGGAGGCCCTTTCCCCTTTTAGAAGAGTATATTGCTGATTACAGGAGTCCCACCAGGGAGGACCCCAGTTGTACTTCTAATTGAGAAAATATATGTTGTACTGGACTGAACCAGCCCTATAGAGACAGCCTCAGTCTAGAGATACTATTATCTTCTGAGATCTCTGGTTTATCCTGTCAATAATGGGTACTGTTCAGGTGATGATTTGCTTTTGGAAGCAGCTCCTAGATTAAAAGTGGCACTGTAATTTGAGATTCTTCCTGGAGAAACAAGGTTAACAAACTTGTAGGATTAAACTGAGACTTTGACTTCTAAAAATACATATATATATCTCTCTGCATAGGTGTGGACACTGCAAGAGGCTTGCCCCTGAGTATGAAGCTGCAGCTACCAGATTAAAAGGAATAGTCCCATTAGCAAAGGTGAGTACAGGTGGATTCTTCACTAACGGAAATGAAGAATTTTATTTTTTTATTTTTAATTTTTTTAAGATTTATTTTTATTTATGTATATAAGAACTGGGGTATAGACCAGAGGTACAAAGGGTGAGTGGATTTACCAAAGACAGGTTGGGGAGCAAAACAGGCAGAGCTCTTGAAATACACTGCTGAGGGGGGCAGCAGGTGAGACAAGAGAGGTCTGCTGCGCCATGTGGTTTGCTCCCTGGCTGGGGATTGAACTCAGGTTGCAGTGGCTGGTGATAGCTTGATAGCTGAGACTTTAACCCCTGTGCCACCAGGGAGGCCCAGAAATGAAGAATTTTAATTGTAGTTTGTTTGTAAAATTAATTAATTTTCGTTACTCTTAGGCTGCTAAGGAGAACACTACTTCCTTGGCTGCTACATCTCGACTATTCTATTAGTTAAGATTTCAAAAGATTGAAAGGAGTGGAACTAAGAAAATTATTGGCATAAAGTGTATAATATATAGTAAATAAGAATTAGGGGGCAAATGTGAAAGTAAAAGTACAATGATCAAGGTTAAAGGAGGGTTCCCTAAACTGCTGTATGATATTGACAATGATGGGAATCAGAAAAGTATATGAGGGTGTTGATAAGTATAAAACCAGTAGGACAACTGTATACTGGATATTTGCTTTTACAATCAAGTAATACTTCCCAGGTTTTTTTCTGTAGTAAACTCATACTTGCTGTAGTCTAAAAGCCCATACTCTACTGGCCTCAAATAAATAGCTTATACATATGTATGGACTGTTTTGCCAACTGTCTTGTGGTAACTTGCCACAGAAAATAAAGAATTCAGACATGATTTAATTTCTCTTGTATGATTTTTGTGGCCTGTTAATATGGACATGTTACTTTTCTGGACTGCAGTTTATCTAGAGCCTTGGAATCATATCTTAGAATCTTAGGAAGATTGAGTGAGATAATACATACAAAGTACGGCCTCCCTGATGGCTCAGGGGTTAAGACGCAAACCTATGAAGCTATCCGCAGCCACCGCAGCACTTATTCGATCCACAATACCCACGTGGCACAGCAGACCTCTTCTGACTTGCCCGCTATTGCCCTCAGCAGGGTATTTCAGTCAGTCTACCTGTTCTTTCCCCACTCTGTCTCTGGTGAATTCTCTCACCCCCCACACCTCTGGACTGTACCCCAGTTCTTGTATGCATAAATAAATAATCTTTTATATATATATATATATATATATGTATGTATGCACACACACACAAGTACCTGTAGCATTATGGAGTAACTAAATAAATGGAAATTGTTTTCTTCTTACTGATAGTTCTCACAAGATCTGTCATGTTATCCTATGGCCCAAATTCAGCCTAACTCAGCATATTTTAAGTAGTCATACCTTTTTTTTTTTAAACGATTTATTTATGCATACAAGAACTGGGGTATAGGCCAGAGGTGCGGGGGTTGAGAGGATTCACCAGAAACAGTGGAACAGAAAAAAAGAAGTGGAGAACAGAACAGGCAGATTTACTGAAATACACTGCTGAGGGAGCAGTGGGCGAGACAGGAGAGGTCTGCCGCCCGTGTGGGCCACCTCCCTGGCTGGGGATCAAATTCGTGCTTCAGGGGCTGCAGATCCTCATGGTGCTGTGACCAACCCCTTGCGCCACCAGAGAGAGAGACCCCTTGATGATGCAATTATTATCAACATAAGTGACTTAGTAAATTTAAGTGATTTGTCCTCCGCTTGTTACAAGGCAGAAAAAAGATGACGACCATTGCTTTATACAATAAAAGTAACCACAGGCAGAATTTGAAGTCATTTATATGTTTTTCATGAGGTAAAGGAATCTAAATTTTAAAGAATTCTTCAGGTGATGCTGATGTAGCTTGCTCAGCACCTGTCTACCTTTAAATCTAATATTCTGTGGCGTGTATACCAAGAAATACTCGATCCTTTTATGATTTGACCATTCCTTCTACTTTATGAATATGGGAAGACCCTGTAAAATGCATTTAGATAATAAATGGTTCGTGTATCTTAATCTTAGGTTGATTGTACGGCCAACACAAACACGTGTAATAAGTATGGAGTCAGTGGATATCCAACCCTGAAGATATTTAGAGATGGTGAAGAAGCAGGTGCTTATGATGGTCCTAGAACCGCCGGTAAGGATCCTGAATTACATTCTCAAAACTGAATTTGATAAGTGCCCTGATTTTTGGTAGTGGGAACACAACATTTTCTGTACAATATTTTCATTCTTGATAGGTCCCATCTAAGAGATCTTTGTGTAGCTAACAAAGACCTCTGTAAATCAACAACTATATAACTAATAAAGAAATTGCTCGAGCTTGGTTTCAAGGTCATCTTGATATTTTTCTTTTGATAAATATTTATTGAGTAGCAACACTACACCAGATATTCTAGATGTTTTATTGGTGCTTGGTATTCATTGATAAATAAAATAGACAAGGTCCCCACTCTGTGGTGCTTACATCTGAGGGATGAGGAGAACAAGGCAACAACAAAGTTTTAAACATATATATAGAGATAACTGTCTCACGTCCATTAGGATGGATACTA